AGCCCACCCCACGTCAAGAGGCCCAGCGCCCAGGAGCCCCCAGAGGCACTTTGGCTGTGGGTGGGCTCACAGGCTCCTTGAGAGAACTTTCTCCTCCGTTCCTGTGATTAATTCCTCCCTCCCACCATGGACGCCCGCAATCGCATCTGTATCGGTAGCTCCCCACTCTTCTTCGGCTGTGAAATATTTATAACCCCCCACAGTAGGGCTCTCCTTTCTCCTCGCCTCTTTTTGCTCCTTTTATGCCTTCCACCCGGGCTCCCGGCTCTGCTGAGCCGCACCAGGAACCACTTCATTTTCATATAACTTAGAGAGTGGGGAAGCTGTGAAGAATAATTTAGATTTCGCTCAGGGAATGCGGTGCTTTTTTTAATTGCAGTCATCTGCAGCTTCTAAGCAATGTATTATTGATGGTTATTATTCAAATAAAACAGTCATTGCTTGTTTTCCCGTGGACGCAGTTGGCAGTGTTTATGGATTTCTTCTCTCTTTCTCCATTTCTGGAAGAGGTCACCTTTCATCTCGTATGCATTCTGCCTCTGCTGCCTCTCTGCAGCTCATGCTGGGGTGCTGCAGGGCTGAGCTCTGCCCGGTGCTGCTGGGGCTGCAGAGCAATCTATGCTTTCCATCCTCTTCCTCTCACTGGAAAATACCAGCTGGGTGGCTGACAATCAGTGCAGGGAGAGGGGAAAAGGGGGTTTGGTCACTGCACACTGGAGCTCAGTGCAGCAAAGCACATGGAGTGGAGGAAACGCCTGCGAACACCTATGCTAAGCAATGCCAGTAGAAGCCCACAGCTCTCTGCCCAGCCATTCCCAGAGCTCTGGAGGCATGTTTTGGGGAGGGCCTTCTTCTCAGCTGCCTTTTCCTGACACTGCAGCACCACAGGGGGCTGTGAGGTGTCACAAAGGCACCCTGCCCTGGTCAGAGCTGCTGGCACAGCACTGTTCCCCATCCCTGGAAGGAAGGCACTGAAATAGGACTTGGAGAGCAGGACTCCTCCACTCCCCACTCCCCCAGGAGTGACAGCTTGCAAGTGACAGTGATGCGAGCGGCTCTCCCGTGCTGTCACTTCTCCCTCCTCCCTTTCAACACTACCCACCACGTTGTCATTCCCAGCAGCAGGGACTTTCCTCAGTCCCACCGAGGTCCCGGAGGTGTTACTGTGATGCAAACACCGAGTGCGAGGTTCCTCCTCGATGTGACGAATGAAACAAGGTCAGAACCGGGGGGAAAAATGTTCATTTTGAGGTGGAGCAGAGGATCTCCCTATCTCCCTCTGACTTCCTGGGGAGGGGACAGGGGTATCCCCAGGGCCCCAAGAGGTGGCCTTTGAGTTGCACTCACCAGTGCCATGCAGATCCCCCTGGGAATCACCATGGCTCCGAACACAGCATCCTGTTACCCTGCCCACAGGTGTCTGAGAAGGGGCAGCTCTCCCTCAGCTGTAGCAGATAATTGGGGTCTTCATCGATTTAGGGCCTGCCGTCCCTCTGGCTACAAGTGGGAAGGCAAAGGGGTGGGGAAAGGAAAAGCGACATCAGTCCCTGAGCTCCCGGGACTGGAGGCAGCCCTGAGCTCAGTGTGGAGGGCAGCCCTGAAGCACTTTGGGGACGAGTTCCTTAGGTGAGCAAACAACTTTGTCTCTTAATTGCACTCATAAAGGAGAACTGGGCCCAAATCCCTCCTGTTCCACCTGGTTTTTATTTGCAGCCCCCTCCCAACAAAGTGGCTGCTCAGTTACAAAGCAACCATGCTGCTAGAGCAGTTGGTAGCAGAGATGGTCCAGGAGAGCTTTGGCAATAACGTGCCAGAGAGGCTCTGGGATTTTTCTGGCCACCCCCTGCAGCAAGTGGGAAGCCCATGCCGTAGCTGAACAACCTACAGGCAGCTGAAGGGGGGCAACCCTGTGCCCGGGATGGGATCAGAATGGGAGCATTCTGCAGCCCCACACTGCAGCAGCACCCGGGCAGCCCCGCGTCCCTCAGGACCGACTGCCAGCAGCTCACAGCAGAACAGTGCTGGGGGTTTATTTATCCGTGAGCACTGAAAGCTGAATTGCTCTCTCTCTCTCTCCCTATATTTAGCTCTGAATGGAGAAAGATTTCACAGACGCTCTGCCTGGTGCTCAAGGCTCAGTCAGTGTTTCCATTAGAAACCCTGGGGTCCAATCCTGCTCGCTGCCTCCCGGCACAGTGACAAAACCTTCCCTGCTGACTCCAGCACAGCCACGCTGGATTTGTACCCTCAGAGATGAGATCAGGATCTGGCCTCGGGTTTTGATGAGTTTGTATCTTGGCGGATACAACTTGGCTGATTCAATTCATTTTGGGCTAAAACTCCACCTACAAGTTCCCAGCCTGGGAGACATTAAAGACAAATTATTATGAAGTTTCATACACTTTGTAAAGGAAAATTATCACTTAAGCCTAATTTTTACAGAAGAACCTGGCAGACTGATCCTTTCTATTTCAGGGTACTTTTAGGCTACACACCACTCAGGATCGCTTTCTCCTTTGCTCACAGAATGTATGGCCAAGGAGCAGCGCTCTGTCCTCTTCAGAAAAAGAGCACCAAATCATGGCTAAGAGCAGAGGATGCCAGCCCAGCAGGGCTCCCGGCAGGAGAGGGTTTAGGAGACAGTCCTGGTCCTGAAACCTGATGCAGTCCCTCAGCTGTGAGCGGGACAGCAAGGAGGGCTGAAGGATGGGGAGAGAAGGAGGTGACGAGAAGAGGGAGCAGAGCACAGGCACTGTCCAGGCAGCGCCCGCACCTCGCAGTGGGGTTGGCTCAGCACCAGCCCAGGGCTTGGATGACCCTGAAGCTCTCTGCAGGAACTCTCTGCTTGCCCTGCATACGCACTCTGCTCACTTCTCTGTGGGGCTGTCTGACTTTCCTCCATGTGCTTTTCCTTAAATGTAAAATGGAAGGGGCTTTCAGCCTCAGTGTTTATGGTTGCTCTTGATGTAATGGAAAAGCACCAGGCAGGAGCTGCTGAGCACCAGTGCTGTGATTGTGGGCTGACACGTTTTCCAATGGATTTTGGCTGGTTCCTTCAGCTGTGTGCAAGCTGGAAGAGCCTTCCCTCAATTTCAGATGGAGCCCAACGGGGCTGCAAATTCAACAGGTTCCCCGGGGCAGGAAGGCTGATTTCCTTTGCAGAGTCCAAATCCAGATGGTCAGAGATTCCTTCCAAGATCAGAAAACCTGTTTTAAAAGGCCAGTATGTCTCAACAGCCATTCTGCATCCCATCCTTTTGGAAGCACTGTCCCTCCATTCAATTTTCAAGCTGTTCTGCAGTCACTTGGACCAAACACGGTCAGTGCAGCCCTGTGTGCTCAGGAATGGAGGATGGCTGAGTTTACTTTGAGATACAAGACTTGCTTTTGCTGCGACAATGCCCAGATTTCATTGTAAGGAACAACAAGCACCAAAGAAAACATCAGTGATGAGCCCAGGCCCCTTTCCCCTGTCCTGCTGCAGAGCATTGGAGCAGTTCAGTGCCTTCTGTGTAAAGTCCCAGTGAGACACTGTGTCTGCCATGCCTGATGCTCTGCAGTCGTTCTGCTGATTTTGGATAACTGTCCCTGCATTGCAACCCGGGGTGGCTACAGGGCTGCAGGGTGCCCACTGCTGCATGCAGCTGTACAGTCTGCTTGCAGAGCACTACCCTGAGAGCTCAGCAAACAGACAAAGCAGCAGGGAGGAATCCCCTTGCTAAAGGCCCAAAGAGGAACCCCCCCCCCAGGACTGTTCAGGAATGCAGTTATTGAGGTGCAGGCCCTCAAGGCAGGGGGAAACGTTACAAGCGTTAAATAAGGGCTTGTGCACAGATGTTACACTGGTTTGACTTGAACTGGGTTGCATGCCCAAACAACAGGATTAGTGTTGACTTAAGGTTGCCTACACCCAGTGTTACACCAGCAGGGCTGCATTGATGCCGTGTTACGTTTTCCTTACAGCCACTGTGTTTCAAGGGCTTCCATTGAGTTTCAAGGCATACTTTCCTCTTTGCTTCCATAATAAAAGGGGGGAGTGGTGGCTTTTCCTGGGAGAGGGGCTGTGATTCATGCTCTGCAGCTCAAGGAGCAGCTGTAGTCCTGGGTTTCACCACCACCCCACGCTGCAGGGACAGCAGTGGCTGTGTCCTGAGTCGCAAGGTGGGGCAGACGTCCCCAGCACGTGTCACCAAACACAGTGACCACGAGGAACCCCGAGTGCTGCTCCAGGGATTTTGTGCTCCATGCTCAGAGCAGGGAGGACTTTTTGTGCATCCTGTTTTGCAGTGACCACACTACCAGAGGAGGTCCCAGCTGCATGCATCATGGAGAGCAACCTATACTGCTTGAGGGAATTTGCACCACCCCAGCAGGGGCTGCAGCACAAGCAGAAGGGGGATACACAGATTTTGGGGGTGCAGGCACTGTTCTGCACCCGCAATGCCAGGGGTGGGGCATAGAGTGCTTGGGGGCACACCACCCAAGGGGGGATCCACAGTGCCGGGAGTGCATGCAGTGCTGCCCTGCAGCTGCTCCTCCTGGAGGTACACCTCTACAGCTCGAGGTGGGGGGCACGCACGGACCACAGTGCTTGGAGGGGAGGTCCACTGTCCCCAAGGATGCGGTGCGCTTGTGGCTGCTCCACAAGGGTGACACTGCACAGACACGCACCTCCCGGGGGTACATCTGGGCTGCTCGGGGGGGGGGGGGGGGGGGGGAAAGGGGTGGTGCTTCTGGGGAGGCCTACAACTTATGGAGGTACACGTACCAACACCGGGGTTCACCTGTACTACCCGACGGGGGCTCCTGGGGGAGAGGGGCGGTGTCCGCGGGGTACACCGATATCGCCCGACGGGCCTCCCGCACCGCAGCGCCCGGGGGACACAGCCCCGCCCGCCGCCTCCCGTCCCCCTTAAGCAGCGGACGGGGCGGGCCGCCACCTTAAGGCAGCCCCTCCCCCGGCAGGCCCGGCCCGGCGCGGGTTGCCATGACAAGCATTTTCTCCCGCTAGCTCCGCAGCCGTCACCGCCCTCCTTATGGCCGCCCGCGGGGGCTCCGCCGACAGCCGGGACGGGGCGCCGCGCCGGTGAGTGCGGGACCATAGCGGAGGGAGTTTGTTCTGGGTGCCCCCTCGGGTGGGGCGGGCGGAGGCGGCCGTGCTGCCTTCGATGTTCCGTTGGGGGGGGGCGGCCCGCGGAAGGAGCGCGCGGCTTTCGCCTTCCATAACGCCGCAGCTGCTGTGGGGTCGTTTGCTGGGGGGGGGGGAGGGCCGTCGGTTGGGTGCACGGGAGAGGTGCGGCAGGTGGGAGGGAGCGGCGGGGACTGGGGATCCTTCTCCCATCGGAACTTGGGGAGCGCGGGGGCCGCGCGCATACCCCACATTCGAGTGGAGCGCGGAGCGGTTTGGGGGGCGGCCGTGACACCCTGGGTCTGTGCGAATCCGGAGGGGTCGGTGAGGAAGGGGGAGCGCTCCGGCTGTAACCGCCACCGCCACTTGTTGCTGCCCTTGGGGAAAGGGGGAGCGGGGGGGCCTGCCGCGGCGTTCCCGCGTGGCAGAGCGGTGTGGGGGGTGGAAGGGGGGGGGGAGGGGGCAGGCACGGCTCGTGGACGCGGCCGCGGCCGGAGGGAAGGGCAGAGCAACGCGGGCTGCGGGGCTGGAGGGGGGAGCGCCTTGCGGCAGCCCGAGGGCAGCGCCGGGAGGTACCGCAGGGGCGGCTCCCCCTCAGCCCGGGGCAGGAGCCGCTCCCAGCCTGCGGCAGCGCCGGGTGGGGCGCGGGTTGCGGTCACGGCCCGGGCCGCGGGGCTGCACGGCCCCCCCTTCCTGGTCGTTCTGGATGCGGGCGGAGAGGGAGCGGGGGGAGGGACAATGGGTTATTGTCCTCTTATCTCCGGAGACCTGAGGGCGGGGGGGTGCTCGGCTCGCAGACCTGTTTGCGCCGCGGGGCGGGGGCACCTCTCTGCATTCTCCCCCCGCCCCCAAACGGGCGCAGCTCTCCCGGTAAGCGCTCGCGTCGGATGCTGCGTCCGCTGCGCTCAACGTGAGCGCCGAAACGCACCTGAATCGTTAAACAGCGAACGGGAGGGGCTGACACCCCCGCCTCCCCCCGCTCCCAGCCCGGCGCCGTCCTGCGGTGTCCGTCCCCGAGCGCTGCCCCGCGGGGTGCTGCCTCCCCCGAGCCGCCCGCCGCCGTGCGGGGCTCTGCGCTCCGCGGAGCCCTGCGCTGAGCATCGCCGTATCCGCTCGTGCGGCGCTCCGGCCCCGTGCTGAGCGGCTGCGGGGAGGGACCGCTTCGCTCTGCCATTGTTGTGCGGCAGAAAGCGGTGGGGTGGAGCCGTGTGTGAGGAATTCCCCCTTCCCCGAGGCCTTCCCTGGCTGCTGAGATGCCCCGGGAGCTGCTTGCACACTCTCAGCTTCCCTTAGTTCCCTGCATTCTCGCTGATTGTCTCTCCCTCTTTTTTTTTTTTTTTTTTTTTTAATTAATCGATGTGTATATAAATACATCCGCGTGTGTATGCATGTATATAATTTATTTTCTCCTTGCTATGCCGTGAGCACAGTTTGCTCGTAGCATTTCCACTGCCTGTTGCTGCAGTGCTGTGAGCAGCCCGCAGGGATCTGCTGCCCTGTGCTGCAGGCACTGCTGCTGCTGGCTGCTCCCCTTCTACAGCTCCACTCCAGGGCTCGCTCCAGTCCGGATCCCTCCCTGCTGTGTTCTGCAAATCCTTGCTGCTCTCTGAGCTCTCTGGAAGCTGCGCTGCTCAGCATGGCTGGGGCAATGGATGCAGGTCTAAGGGGTGGCTGCTGCAGTGCAAGGAGGTGATGCTGCCTCCCAAATTCCTCCGCCTTGTTGGAGGCTTCTGGATTGGATCCCGGGGATGCGGTGTGAGCACAGGATGCTGATGCCTGATGTTGAGGTGGATGGAGGCAGTGGTGTCTCTTCTGTTGTACAGGTGCATGAAAGGGGAAATAAATGGGTCTGGGTGAGCAGGGAGATGGAGTGCATCCCTCTTTCACCAAGGCGATGAGGACCTGTCATGTGCTTCTGGTGTTGTGGTAATGGAGATGCGCCTGGGGTAAGCAGCTCTGGGCTTTGGGCTTAAGTAGGAGGAGGATGGGATCTCTGCATCCCTGCTTGCAGGATTGGTGTGTGCAGAGCTCCTGCAGCAAGGAGGGATTGAAGCCCCAGCCTCGGGCTCCTGGCTCTTTGTGCCTGGTGTGGGGCTGTGCAGGAGCTGCATCCCTGCCACCTCCTGCTGGAGCTTCCTGAGCTGATGAGACATCCCACTTTGATGTTTTAATGAGTTGCTTTTGGCTTTAATGCAGAAGGATAATAGAGTTTCCATGGTCTTATAAATCCTTACTCCTATATTTGCTCGTTGGAAAAGGGGGAGGGAAGGAGAAAAGAAAAAAAAAAAGGGAAGAAAGGAAACGCCTGGCACTTGTGGAGTGCATGACACTGCTGGTGTGTCACCCACCTGTGTTGCTCACCAGGACTCCCTGACACTCACTGATCTCACCGAGTAAAGGCTGTGCTGTGTCCTGCTGCCCTGGGGAGCTGCTGAGCTTCACCTGCAGGAGGCTGAAGTGTGGGTCGTGGGGCAGGGAGGGGTTGTGGGGCAGGAGCATCCCTATAGCACATGCAGAGGGACGCAGGGGTGGCGGTGTGGTGTGCGGGGTGTGGAGGTTTGGCTGTGGTTTGTGCTGATGGGGAAACTTTTCCTTCTGTGGCAGGGATGAGTCGGCAGCAGGCTGGGAACCAGCAGAGCTCTGGCATCCGCAGGCTGACAGAGTGGAAATCTGTCCCTTTATTATTTTCAATGCCCAAAGTGTGTATTCCCACCTACTGAATGATCTGGATGGGGTGAGCAGTGGGTGGAAGCCCTACCTGTAAGAGTTTGTCCAGCAGGGAGGAGGGATCCTTGCCTGCTCCCTCCCAAGCGTGGCACAGCGCTGTCCCACTCCTGTCCACGCTGCTCTGCCACCTCCCAGGCTGCTGCTGTCTTCTTGGATGCACAAAGGTCAGTGCGGCGCCCAGAGCTGGGAGTGCAGTGGAGCCCTGTGCTGCAGGTCCTGACCCCAGCATCCTCCTCCTCCTCCATAGGCAAAGGAAGGCTCGGTGCTGAGCCGTGCTGAGGTTTGGGTGGGAGCTGAGGGGATCCATTCAGGCTTGTTCTGACTGGGAACCAGCAGCAAAGCTCCAGCTTTCCTTAGGCTAAAAATAAGCTGGTGGGGCCGGGGGGGCTGCGGGATGGATCAGCCCCGCTGGGGGGTCTGGCTGGAGCTCACTGTGACCTTTGCTCTTTGAACGCTGGATCCGCTGGTCAGGTTTGCAGCTCCAGGCTCAGATTTCGGGTAGAAGGTGTCTGATTTTCAGCGTGGTTTCCTGTGATGGTCGTTAGGGACCCTGAGCTTAGCTGTCCCTTCCGCTCTGCTCCTGGCTCTGCAGCCCGGGCTCGCACAAGGCTCTGTTTGCTCCATCTGAAATGCCCATGTCCTGTCCCAGCCCTCCTGCAGGCAGAGTGCTATCCCTGCTGTTGAAATCCCTCTTCCCACCTCCTTGCAAGCTGCTCTGGAGTTACCCTGGGTTGTCAGAGTGCTTCGTTTGTTCCAAGCAGATCTCTGGCTGCAGCTCGCTGATGCTTTCAGCTGATGGTGGGAAAGCTGCTCTGGTGCTCGTGCTGTCGCTCAGGCTGTCACTGCTGTGGGCAGTGGGATGTGAGGACCGGCGTGGGGATGGCTCTGTTCTTGAGCACCTGATGGATTGTGTGCTCTGTCTTGGGTGTCTTTGTACAGATGTGGTTCTGTGTTAGCGCTGGAAGTCATGCAGGGCTGCTGCTGCTCCTCGCATTGCGCGGGCTGTCCCCGTGACCCGAAGCTGCCGTGTCCCAGGCTCCAGGCTGTGCTGCAAGCTGTGAAGCTGCCTGGCTGTGCTCTGCAGGGTGATGGTGCCAGCTATTTTTAGGTGTCAGGACTCAGCTTGGCTAAATGATGTCTTTTGAGTTTTATTTGAGGGAGGAGGGGTGAGGTGTCGTTATTTCCCAAATGACGAATTGCTTGTAATGCTGATCCCAATGGGACCAGCCAAAAGTGAAGGGGCCGAAGCAGCTGACTGCACTCCAGCAGCATTGCCTTGTCAGAGAGTGCTGGACTGTGAATTCTTCCCCATCTTCCCCATTGCCTGTTTCCGTGTGCTTGGGATGCTCTGTGCCCCCTGGTGTCACCTCATCCAGGCATCTTACCCCACATGCACCAGGTTGGAGGTGCAGGTGGGTGGCATCCCTTTGTTTCTCCTTCCCGCAGCATCTGCCCGTTGCTCTGCAGGGCAGCAGGCAGGGGTTCCTCTAACTCCTGCAGTTGGACGTGAAATGCATCACATCCACATGAGATGCTGCAGCTTGTGCTGCTGCAGCGCAGGGGGAACTTGTGCTGTGCTCCCCAGGCAGATGCTGCAGGGCTTGTGGTGCTTCCCGTGCTGTCTGATGCTTTGCTTCAGGGGATGTCCCTTTTCCCTTTGGAAAGAACACTGAGGGATCCTCCCTTCCTCCTGCCGCTTCCCTGCATGCAGCTGTCTGCATGGAGCAGCCTCGCTGTTCCTCAGCCCTGCAGTATCTCCTGACATCCTGCTGCCAAGAAGGGACCCAGGGAAGCACGCTGCCCAGAGCCTGTCTGCATGCAGAAGGGCAGTGGGGAGGACAAGGATGCCTCATGCACCCCAGTATCACGCTCACGGAGCTGCCTGCTTTGTTCTAGGCTGCTTTGTGCCTGCTGCTGCAGCAGTCTTCTGCCCTCTCACTGCTTTCCCTGGGTTGGAGCCCACCGGTATGGCTGTCTGTGGGGGTGGGTGCTGGCCACAGTCTGGTGAGCACAGCGCAGTCCGTGCCTGGCTGTCACCTCGTGTGACCCTGCGGTCACAGAGCAGTGTTTGGTAGCTGGATCTGAGCTTGCAGGGGCGCAGCTTGCTGGGGGCTTTGGGGCGCATATGTGTGGGTTTCTTCCCTACTCAGCCTACGGCTGGATGGGGGATGCAGGAGGAGGGGGTGCCCCAAACATCAGTTTCCCATTCTTTGCTGTGGTTTTGCTTCAGT